TGTAGGAGCCAACTGTGAATTTTGTTAGAGTAAAGCATGCCAGCTGAAGGTGCGGCCAACTGGAGAGGGCATTCTGAATCTAAAGTGGGCTGAGTCCTACCTCAGACCCAGCTGCTTGTATCCTTGTTGGAATGCACACCCTAATCCTCATGTTTCTTTCTTGTGTTTTGTTCTCATGAGAGGCCAGATATGGATTTTGACTATGTGAAATCATCCAAATGTCTAAAGTGCCTCATTTAAAATAGGAAGCAATAAAAATACAAAGATCAAACAAAACCTGACAGCTGACTGAAATTGCCCTTGGGCGGCCTGCTGGTGTTCACTGGAGTGTACATTGTGTGATGAATAAGAGAAAATTAGCATCTGCTATGTGAGGTGGGCTTGTCTTATGTGATTCTTGAGGCAATCAGCCCCAGGTCATGTTGGGTGGAGAGAATGAACTGGATTCACCACTTTCCTTTAACTCCCAGAAGCTCCAGGAGCTTCCTCGACTATGCATGGAGTTAGGGAGACCTGGGCAGCCCGGAGCTGCCAGCTTTCTTTCTTTGGGATGACAGGTATAACTTAATGGCAGGAGGGGGTGCAGAAATCAAGAGAGGGTTTTCAGAGGGACTACAGCAGGACTGGAAAAAGACAAGGAAGGGAGGAAGAGAAAGAGGCAGACCCATGATTTGGACACCATAGTCACGAGGGAGTTTACTGGGGACACAACCCCTCCATGCGGTGTTATACAGCCAATAGTAGGTTATACAGATCCACAACTCCCAGCCCAACTTCCCCATGAAGGTAAGATTTCCAACTTCTACCTCACCTGAAAACAAAGCACAGACAGGTTTCTGTGAGCTGAGAGTGGGCAAAACTGACAGGGCAGTATCTGTGAGCAGTCAGAAGATACCAGTTCTGTGAGGGGTCTAGCTCCCCCACCCCCCGGGCTTCTTGGGGAATCAGGCATTCTTTGCTGGAGCACTGGTTGGTACCCCCTGTAATTTCAGGCAACTACTGAAGGAAGCATGGACAGTGAAGTACTCCTCATACCCTGGAGAGAAATTAGGCTCAATCCTCTGATGCCTCTCCTCTAGAGGGAGGCAAGGAACATTCTTGCAGGAAGAACAGTGATGGGACTCGTTGTACCTGGCTTCAGTACGGTTCCATCTTTTCTGGATAAAATACTTTCCAAACGCAAGACAGGACATCGCATAACTTCTGAGAGTCCTATTAACTCACTGCCTACAAGTATGGTTTATCCAGTGTAGGGAAAATGTGCAGAGGGAGCTCACAGCTCAACACTTATGGAACACCATATTAGTGTCTTTAGAATGAGGGTTGGGCCTCTGCTGGGCAGGAGTGGCATGGACTCACAGAAACAAACAAACAAACAAACAAAAAACCTTATCGGTATAAAGTTGGCGCCTGCTTAACTCGACTGAGTCAACTCTATCAAAATGCCCTTCTAGGAAAGCTCCAGTGCACCTGCCTTCTTTGACAGATGCCACTTCCTTTGTGCATAGAGCTAGGAAGAGTAATGTGGATAATGCCAGAAGTCCAACTTTTTCCTGGGCCTTCCCACCCCTCGTGGGCCCCACTCCCCACTTTTTTCTTTGAATTCCTTCTTCCTCAGTGTCCCTCCCCTTCTTTCACATCCCTTATAATCCCTCTCTTTGTGTATTCCTTAGCCTCTCCTCAGATCCCTGTCAACTTGCTCTTTCTTCCCTTTACTCTGGACTTCCTCTAAGCTGCTTTGTGTTCCTCTCCACTCAATTTATTCTGTTTTCCTCTAAGCTCCCAGATCTCACTCTCCTTTCTCAGTTGGATGTGTCCTCCTTATAGCTCATCCTCTCCCCCAGGGAGCCTCTCCCTTTTGGTTTTCCCCCACCTCTTCCTAAGCTGTCACCTCCCCTTTCCTTTCCCCTGCAGCCAACCCCTAGTACCTTCCCCTATCCCACCTCCAGACCAGAACAGCTATGTACCATGCCACTTTTAGATGACTGATTATGAGTCTAGCTGAACTTTATTCACAGCTGGAATTGACAACGGTTCCTTCTTTCATGCCCCTTCCACCAAACACACCCAATCTTTTCAACAAGACAAAGTGTTTACACACAGCATGTCATGTCCACATAAATTTGTATTTTTAGAACAAAACAACAGTTATGCTGGCAAAGATGTGGGGTTATCAGGGACCCTTAAGCTTTCAATACACTGAAAAGAAACATTTTCAAAGTGTCTACAAATTATACATTTGGTTTCCCACAAAAGTGGCAAATTTTACCTTAACAGTTAGGACTTTTTCACCAAATCATAGACATAGATATGGAAATCATCATCAAACTTGATGAAATACACAGAGGGCTTAGCTTCCACTTGGTGAATGACCATGCCAATCCTTTTGGAGCCATCTTCTTTGGTATATTCTACATGCTTACCTATCAGGCCATCTACAACTCCTCCTGCTCTCTCTCTGCTGGAGGAGACTCACTGGACTCTGGCATGATGCGGAGGTCACCTTCTTTATAATCATCTAGAAGCTGGTACATGTACAAGACAGGATCTTTCTCGTAGGTGATATAAAACCAGGCTTTCATGATAGGTGCTTGGGCTAAGACCATCCCCCTCCATTCATCCTTAGAACCATGCTCACCCTCAAACATGTGTTCCACTGCTTTGCCAATTATGGTATTTGCAAGGTTGGCATCACTAACTTGAGATGATGCCACCCTGTCGGAAAGAATTTTAAGAGACAAGACCCTCTCATCTTTGTGAAGTTCCAGTCCATAGACACAGTCAATTCCATCGTATTTCACCAGATAAAGAGAGGGGTTTATAGGCACCTGATCCAGAACGGTTCCTTTCCACTGGGTGATGGGCTCATCTCCTTCCTTCCATCCGTGAGAAATTCTGCAGCCCACGATGTTCCTACGGGGCTGGGAGGAAGGTCTGCCCCTCTGCTTCTTTTGGGAGGCTTTTTTCTTTGTCATGTTTGCAGACCCAGTGCCCCGTCCCGCAGCTGCCCTGGTTTGTTGCCCTTCTGCCTCCTGTGCATTGGGGGTCTTCATGCCTGCTGGGGGAGGAGAGAGGATAGAAACATACAGCATGCCATAAGGTGAACTTTTTTCCTATAGCCATGTCTCTATGAACCCTGTGCCAGTGCTCAAATTTCCCCTTTGAGTCTGGCAGCAATGCTGGAAATCCTGGCTTTGTGCCTGCAGTGCTCCCTCTCTTAGGTTCCTTTGGGCTGTGAGGAAGGGCTGGAGTGGAGGTAGAACCGGCTGGGGTCAGAAACTCTGCAGAAGGGGGTGGGATACCTCCTCCTTGCTCAGCGTCCACTGCCCTTCCCCCCTTATTGCCACTGGCATTCTGTCCTAATCTGCAAAGCGTCTATCCCTCCACCACCCTGACCGGCACTCACTGCCCTCCTGCCTGAGCGCCCCAGCCTGCTGCCCACAAGTCCCCTGCTTATTTCACCCGCTTCCCCGGTCCCCACCGCCCTTGCTTCCCCGCGCTCACCTTCAGATCCTTGTCTGGCTCCTAATGCCACCCCTCTCTCCTGCTGCCCACCGCATTCCCCCACCCCACCGTTGCCTCGCGTCCACCTCCCCCCATGTCTTTTGCTGGATTCCTTCCCATCCCCCCTCTCCATTCTGGCGCCCAGCAATGGCTTTGCCCTGCCTGGCGTCCACCGCTGGGGATCGCGGGCCTCACGTGTTCAAATCGGACACTTCGCCTCTGCCTCCGCTATGAGCCTCTGTGGAAGGATAGTTAGCTGGCGACCAGCCAAGCGAGTGCTTGCAAGAGCTGGCAAGGTAGGATCTGCAGGCGAGAAGTGTGTCTAGGAGTGCGGCGAGGCAGGCAAATAGGATGGCGGCAGCGTCCCCAGTGCTCTGCTCGCTAGCCTTCCGCCTCCCTGTCTGTGGTGCCGGTTACCCCTCTGCTTCATAGGGCTTTCACCATCCGCTGCTACCGTCGCCGCCGTCTCCTTCCACTCTCTTGCAGGACTCGAGCCTAGTTTCCAGTTTTCATTAAGGCCGCTCCGTCTTTCTCAGCACAGTGCAGGTTTGTCTTTCTTTTCCTGGAGGCCCTTCTGGGCTCCTTTATCCCTTTCCAAAATTCAGACCGATGTAACCTGTAGGTGGCTCTTTCTCTCTTCCTCCCTAACTGTATCCCTCAAGCTTCCTAGCTCCTCCCCTTAGCTCTCTTGCTCCATCTGTTTTCCATCTTTCAGACATTCCTCACATTCTTTCCATACAAACGAATTAACACAAAAATATCTTATTTATACATATATGGATTCATAAATTCATTATGTTTATAGAATAATAAGCATGCACACATATACAAATATACATTTTATATGCATTTAAAGAAATTTATATCCATTGGCACATTACTGGAAACACACAGCTCTATCCCATCACTTCACACACAAGTATAATTCTTTCTCTCTCTCTGTGTCTCTCTCTCTATATATGTGTGTGTGTGTGTATGCACACTCACTAATACACATATTAGGTGGTTTTCCAAAGCAGTTTGTATGCACATTTTAGAGTTGGAGGGCTAGCTTTGAAATAGTGGCTTGTTTTAAGCCTGAAGAGTTGTTCTTGTATGTGATTATAATTTCTAACAAACCTTATTGACTTTTGCATGAAGCGATATCATTTTGCATCTTGCTTGTATTCTTTTTTGTTACTTAATATTTTTGTGCACTGTTCTATAATTCTGAACATAATAAACAAAATTAGGGAACTATATCATGTAAGGTTTTTCCAGTTACATGTAATAGGAAAACAGACTTAAATTCGTGTACTATAAAAAGTATATATTGGCTAATGTATTTGAAACTTTTAATGGCTTTTAGGTTAATCTTAATCTAGGTGTTCAGTGTTATGGGCTGTATTGTGTCTCCTTAAGATTTATATCTTGAAGCCCTAGTCCCAAGTACCTTAGAATGTGCCTGTTTATGGAGATAGAACCTTTAAAGGGATAATTAAGGTAAAATGCAGTCACATGTGTAAGACCTAATCCAATATGACTGAGGAGGCAATTAAGGCACGGATATACACAGTGGAGAGACAGTGTAAAGTCAGAGGAGAAAATGGCCATCTACAAGCCAGAAGACATTCTCTAGAAAAAAAAATCAACCCTGCTTATACTTTGATCTTTGACATATAGCTTTCAGAAGTGAGAGAAAGTAAATTTCTGTTGTTTAATTCACTCAGTAAAGGCTATTTATTATGTCGACCTTAGCAAATAAATACACTCATTGATGTCAACAAAAAACTAGTTTTCTTAGCTTACTATTTTCTTTCTAATGTCACTTTTATCCTAAAACTTATGGTATAATATGGATGTCAGCAACTTTGAAAGGCATATGCTTCCTTATTCATATATAGTGGCTGAAAGCTTTTTTTTTTGTTAACAGAAACTTTTTGTTTAATTTTTATGAAAACATACTATTTGTACATATTTATAGAATACATGTGATATTTTGATACACGTACAATGTTTAATTTTCAAATCAGAATAGTTAGTATATCCACCACTTTAAACATGTATTATTCCTTTTTGTTGGTAACATTCCAAATCTACTCTTCCAGTTATTTTGAAATATATAATAAATTATTCGTAACTATAGTTATCCTATGGTGTAACCCAATACTAGATCTTTTCCTTCTATCTAAAGTGTAATGTTGTACACATTAACCAGCCCTACTTTACCCTTCCTTCCCACTATTTTCAGCTTTTTGTAACCACCATTCTATTCACTACCTTCATGAAATTAGTTTTCTTAGCTCCCAGATATAAAGGAGAACATGTGACATTTGTCTTTCTATGCCTTGTTTATTTCACTTAACATAATATCCTCCAGTTTTAGCCATGTTGTAGCATACGTTTTACATATCCAAGTTATCCATTCCATTAATGCAGGTCCCCAACTGCAACTAGTGTTGGTCCATGGTCAGTTAGGAACCGGGCCGCAGGAGGCAAGTGGCAGACAAGCAAGGGAAGCATCATCTATATTTACAGCTGCTCTCCATTGCTCCCATTATGACTAGCTTTGCTTCCTGTTACATCAACATTGAAAACCCTGCTTCCATTTTCATCAACCTATCTTCGTGAAGCAGGGTTTTCTGTAGTGACAGCAATAGAAACGAGGTTACAGAGTAGACTGAACATAAGCAACACACTTCTGGTGTCACTGTCTCCCATCACCCCCAAATAGGACTGTCTAATTGCAAGAATAAAAGCTCAAGGCTCCTATTGGTTCTGCATTATGGTTAGTTGTATAATTAATTTTATTTTATCTTACAATGTAATAATAGAAATAAAGTGCACAATAAATGTAATGTGCTTGAATCATCCCCAAACCTCCACCCTCCCAAGGCCCATGAAAAACTTGTCTTCCACGAAACCAGTCCTTGATGCCAAAAATGTTGGGGACCGTTGTATTAATGGACACATGTTGTTTTCATATCTTGTCTATAGTGAACAGTGCTTACTGGTTACTGGTGCCTTAGTCCATTGGGCAGAGTCATGCTTTCTTGTATGTTCTTTATGTCTGTGGACATTTGTCAATGTCTGAACATGGAATGGTTAGGTATTTATTTCAGTATTTGCAGTTTGGCCTTGTTTGTACTCAATCTTCTTTTTACATTTCATTTTAGATTTGTGGGGATTTACTACATAAGTTGCATGCAGGTGAAGTTTGGGTTTTTACCTGGCCTTCTCTCCGCATGACAGTGGACCTGATACCCAGTATATAGCCACATGTCTTATCTCTCTCTTCTCTCCTTCCGTCCCCTACCAGTGGTCTGCATCTGCTGATCCCACCCTTGTCCTCATGTGACCAGTGATCAGGGTCCAATTATGAATGAGAATATGTGGTATTCAATTCTTTGATTCTGTGATAGTTCACTTAGTATGATGGTCTCCAGTTGCATCCATGTTGCTGCGAAGGCTATGATTTTGTTATTCTTTATGGCTGTGTAATTTTCCATTGTGCATATGTACCACATTAACTTGTTTACTTTTGATAGGAGTATAGCTTGGTTCCAAGTTTTTGTTATTGTGAATAGTGCTGCAATGAACATATGGGTGCATGTGTCTTTTTGGTAGAGTGATTCACGTTCCTCTGGGTATATTCCTAGAAGGGAGATTGCTGGAACATATGAAAGTCCAATTTTTAGTACCTTGAGACATCGCCAGACTGCTTTCTACAAAGACTGAAATACCTTATAATCATGCCAACAGTGTAGAAGCATTCCTTTTCTCCACAGCCGTACCAGCATCTGTTGTTTTATGACTTATTTTTTGTAGAGTTGTGGAATACAAGTGAAGATTTACTACATAAGTGGGTTGCATACAGGTGAAATTCAGGCTTCTAGATGGCCCTCTCTCCCCCTGATAGTGGACCAGGCACCCAGTTGTTGCCATGTACCTCCCTCGCAAATTCTTCACTTACCCCTAGCAGTGTACAGTATATACCAATCTCACCTTTGTAGTAGTGTGACTAGTGTTCAGGGCCTGATTATGATTGAGAGCATGTGGTATTCAGTTCTTTATTTCTGTGATAGCTCATTCAGAATGATGGTCTCTAGCTGCATCCAAGTAGCTGTGAAGGTCACGGTTTGTTCTTCTTTATGACTGTGCAATATTCCATCATGTATATGTACTATATTTTCTATGTCCAGTTCACTTTCAATGGGCTTGGGATTTCTGGATCATACTGAATGTCAATTTTTATTTCTTTGAGAAATTGCCACACTGCTTTCCATAGAGTTTGAATTAGCTTACATTAACACCAATAGTATGGAAGTATCCTGTTTTCTCCACAGTCACACTAACACCTGCTATTTGTTGACTCATTAATGATAGCCATACTTACTGGTATTAAGTGGTGTCTCATTGTAGGTTTGATTTGCACTTCTCTGATTATTAGTAGGCTGAGCATTTTTTCATGTGTTTGCTGGCTGCTTATATGTTATTCTTTCAGAAATGTCTGTTCATGTTTTTGCCTACTTTTAAAGTTTTTTTTTTCTTTTCTTAATTCGTTTGAGTTCCTTGTAGATCCTGGATGTTAGGTCTTTGTCAGATTCATGGTTTGCATATATGTGTATAAAATATATATATATATATTCTCATTCCATGGTCTGTCTATTGACAGTTTCTTTTGTTGTGCAAAAGCTTTTCAGTTTGATAAGCTTTTGTTGCATTTGCTTTTGAGGATTTGGGCATGAATTAATTGCCTACTGAAATCCAGGAAGGTATTTCCTAGGTCTTCTAATTTTCTTATAGTTTGAGGTTTTACTATTTAATTCTTGTTTCATTTTGAGTTAATTTTTGTATATGGTGATAGGTAGGAGTGCAGTCTCATTCTTCTTTATGTGGCTAGCCAATTCTCCCAGCACCCTTCGCTAAATGTGTATTTTCCCCCAATGGTTGTTATTGATGGTTTTGTCAGGATGAGTTGGTTTATGGACCTTGATTTTATTTCTGGATTCTCTGTCCTGTTCAATTGGTCTATGTGCTTATTCTGTATCAATAATATGCCATCTTGGTTACTCTAGTCTTGTAATAAAGTTTAAGGTCTAAAATTGCGATATTGCTAGCTTTATTTCTTTTGCTGAGGATTGTTTTGACTATTCGTGCTCTTTTTTGCTTCCCTGTGAAATTCCGTGTTGTGTTTTTTTGGTCTGTGAAAAATAATATTGGACATTTGATAGGAATTGCACTGAATCTGCAGATTGCCTTTGGTAGGATGGACATCTTGACAATATTGATTCTCTCAATCCATTAGCATGGAATCTTTTTTCCATTTGTTTGCATCATTCTTGATTTCTTTGAGCAGTGTTTTCTAGTTTTCATTGTAATAGTCTTTCACGTCTCTGGTTGGGTGGATGCCAAAGTGTTTTATTTTATTTTATTTTATTTTGTGGCCTTTGTGAATAGAATTGTGTTTTTTATTTGGCTCTCAGCCTGCTTGTT